CAAAAATTTTATCTTCCAAACCCAAAGCCAACCTTGTGGGGAATCATGGCCTTAGCTTGGAAACAAAGGAGCACCTGTGCTTCCTTACAATAAGAAGATTCTAACCATTTAGGAAAGCAGTGGATTACAGCTCCATGGGCACTAAAAATTTGAGATCAATTTTTAAAGTTTTCAAATGAAAACAGGTACCCCTCTTCTGTAGGTTTTGCAGCTCACTACCCAAGAGACTCAAGTATTTCTATTAAGGCAGCTGGAAGTCCACTGTAGGTTTGAATGGTAACTTCTACCAATATGTTACCTGTCCCCTTCCTTTGCTAATAACATGCTATGGAGAACAATAAATTTTTATGGTGCTGCCTTCTGGTAAGAGAAACACAGCCCTCAAAATAAAGCAAAAGGCTACAGAGGACTCCCTGAGAATGCAGTACAATGAAGAGAGGACTTCAACTTTTCCAAATAAACTTTGCAATTGGATCCAGGTGGAACAGTGCCCTGCAGCAAGTAGTGTCCATGTCAAGGAGAGGGCTCAGCCTCTAGGAACTGTTACTATGACTTCCTGAACCATTTTCTCTCTTGCTTGTGTTAGAGAAAACACACCACAGCCTTGTGTCTCACCACAATCCACTAATACAGAGGGATTTGTTTCCAAGACTGGAATTTCAACACAAGGCAAAGATAATTCATGAGGTGCTCATCTCTTCTCTTCAGCCATTTCTGGCAGCTCTTGCCACAATGCTTCATCTTCTCATTCTCCTGGGTAGATCCTGGGAGGGCTAGGTCACTAGAGAACCTGGGATCCCTCTAACAGGAAATAAGACAGGCACAGCTCCAGGGGCCAGCTGCTCTGGCCAGTTATTAGTCTCTTAGGATCAGTAGAGAACTGGGAAGCAACAGAATTTGGTAGAGTAGGGTTCTCCAGCACCAGAGGGACTGCTGGGCTGCACCCTTCCCTGCCAACACCACTGCTGCCATCTTCAGTGCCAGAAAGGTAGCTGAGTGGTCGACTTTGAACCCCCCAACCCCCTCTTGGCACTTTCAGACCTCCTGATTATACTAGTGTTTAGACCTACTCTGCAGAGGCAGAGGTGGTCATAAAGGGTATTTTCTGGCGCTCCCAACTTTGAACATCTTTAAAGAAGGGACGGGGGAAACCTGTAGTAGAACTGAGTGGAGTTCAACCCTTCAGGAGGTCAGGAAACTCAGTCTGGGCCTTGCAGCCCGAGGTCAGTCTGCATCGTGGGGTTCTGCCAGCAGCTAGCTGAGATCAGGCGACTTGACTCTGCACATGGCAGCACATATTGTATATTATGACAGTAATGATATAGTCTGAAAAAGGTCCTTCAAACTCATTTTTTCTTTCCTTTTTTCATTCCACTCTGCAAATTCTTTTTTTTTTCTGTCCTTTTTCTCCAACTCAGTCTCTTTCTCCACCATATTATACCTCATCTCCCTTTTTGTTTCTGCTCCTGTCCTGAGATTTCTTTTATTATTTTTTTCTCTTTTCTTTATTTTTTTTTCTTATGTCATTCTACCTCACTCAAGAGTTATTATACTTCTATTCTGTTTATCCCTTTTGAATTTAACAGTTTCCTGACGATTGTGTAGTCATTCTATGTCTTCTGGCTTCATGTGAAACCTTCTCTAATTCTTTTACTTATCTACTCCTCTTGTGCTAACTCTGTTTTAAGCCCCCATCCTAAATGGTAAATATCCTTATTGAATAGTTTATTCACTGAAAACATATTTTGGATTGCTTCTTGATTTTAATTTAATTAACATGGTTTGAAGGTGATAGACTGATGACTACCACAAGTGGTCAGTTTGCAAGTTGTGCTTGATCATATTGTGGTGCTGATTGTATCAATTAGGATAAAGGATTGTGATTGATTCAATGAGCTGTTTTCTTTGGTACTATGAAAATAAGAATGTCTATGAGTCATTAGAGACCCATGGGCTGCAACCCAACTATATAAGGAAGATTTAAGTAATGACCTAAAGGTTAAACTAAGGACAACCCAATAACAATAGTAAAAATGAGAAAACGCTTAAGCAAGATACAGGTACAGACTTCCAGTTCACTAATGGCAAACAGTGGGGCAAATGAGGATGAAATTTTGACAGTGAACCATTAGGACACCCTGAACTCAAAGCACAGGAAGTAACAAAACTGATCAATCAGGCTCTACAGAAATTTAAAACAGAATTAATTTCCCAGATAATCATAGAGATAACGAGCAAAATGAAAGTTATAATTCAAGACTCTAGAACAGAAACTGAGAGGAAAATAGATGAGCTCAGGACCATGATAGAAGCTATGAATGCCCAGCATAAGAAAGAATTGGAAACAATAAATGCCCAATATAAGAAAGAAATGGAATCTACAGGACAGATTCGAGCAGATATCCAGGAGATTAAAAACTCCATTGATAGTGTTTGAAACAGAATAAAAGAGTCTGAAGATAGAATCTCAGTTATAGAAGATAAAATTGCAGTCAGTGACCATGAAAAGAGAGATCTCTTAAAAACAGTAGGGAATCATGAGAAATTGATCCAACAACTCTTAGATGATGCAAAGAAGAGTAACATAAGACTGATAGGAATCCAAGAAGTAGCAGGAGAAAATGCAAATGACTTAAAAAAGCTGTTCACAGAATTAATTATAGAAAACTTCCCAAATAGAGGGGAAGAATTTTACATACAGATAAGTGAGGCATATAGGACTCCAACTAGCCATGATAAAAAAAAATCTACACCTAGACATATAATAATCAAGATCCCAGAAACTCAACAGAAGAACAAAATACTACAAGCAGTAAGAGATAAGAAACAAATCACATGCAAAGGAAAGCCCATCAGAATCACAGCAGACTTTTCAACACAAATCCTTAGATTAAGGAGAGCCTGAAATGAGACATTTCAAATACTAAAAGCAAACAACCTCCAACCTAGACTGATGTATCTTGCAAAACTTTCTTTCAAAATGGGGAAATAAGATACTTCCATGACAAAGAACACCTGAGAAACTTCATGAATATCAAACCAGCAGTACTAGGAATTCTAAACAATATCCTAGAAAAAGACAATGAAGGTAACAACACAATGAGGCCCAACAGAGCAAATCAAATAGGCAAGGTAAGAAGCTAAAAGAAGGCGAAAAAAACATGACAATAATAAATTAGTACATACCAGTTACATCAATATCAATGGCCTCAATTCACCAATCAAGAGAAATAGACTAGCCAGAATGGATTAAGAAGCAAAATCCAATAATATGTTGTATACAAGACACACCTAGTGCAAAAAGAAGCCCATAGACTGAAAGTGAAAGGATGGAAAACTTCTTCATGCAACAGGAGCCCAGAAAAAAGCAGCAGTAGCAATCTTATTCACAGACAAAGTAAATTTAAAATCTAAACTGATTGAAAGAGACAAAGAAGGCCACTATATCCTTGTGAAGGGAACAATTCAAGAGGCAGAGATAACAAATAATTTATTTTCAACCTACTGAGTATGTTAGAAAGCACACATGCTCCTTTTCTCTTTTCTTTTTTTTTTTTTTCTTTTTTCTTTTTCTTTCCCTGGTGCTGGGGATTAAACTCAACACATTGTTCTGGCTAGGTAGGTGCAGCACTACTGAGCTAAATCTCAGGCTTTACATTTCATATTTTTAAAATTTATCAACACATTAATCTTTGTCTTTATATGTTGGTCTACCAAATTGATGAGTTATTTTGGTTCTTATTTTCTTTGCTTTTTTATTTGAGAATTTATGAAATCTGTATATATGGGTAGTATGAAAAGTATTAAGGTCCATCCATCATTCTCCTCTCTCATATCTGCCTTCTGCAAACTTCCTTTTCTGTCCCTATAGCTTGTTTGGTTGGAAATTTGTTAAGACAAATTTTGTTATGTTTTCAATATATCTTTGTACCTCTTTTCTACTGATAACGAGTATTAATTTTTAAGTAAATTTTATCATAACTATACTTAAATAAATGGATAATAAATCATTAATATCATTCAGTATCTGCTACATATTATAAATTCTCCAACTGCCTCAAAGATGATATTTGTTTTTCTCAAATCACACAAATCACAATCATTCCACACATCACTGCACTGTTTTATTATACCAAAGCATATATTGTATTGTAGAAAATATGCATTGTGTATATGTGTGGGGGTTATGTTTTTACACACATGTGTGCATTATTTAATAAGAAACATGGTCATGAACATGGTAGAATTTTTCACATTTGGCATATCAATAGTTTCTTTGCCAACCTTATGATTTCTCTAAATTACATGCTTGATTTAATTCATAGTCATTTGTTTGGGAAGAATATTACCTATGCATTGGTGTTAAATTCTATCATTATGCTTATAAAAATATAATAAAAATAAGTATAGAATATAATAAAATAGAGACAGAAAAATCTGATCTTAAATGTGAACTCTTTTAGTTGTTTTTGGATTTCTAATATATTTCTTTTCTGTGGGAAGTTTTGTTAGAAAATGTAAGTGATACAATAATAAGCATATGATATTTATCAAATTAATAAAACCAAGGAGTTTATAAATCATAAAATTTTGAGAACAGTTTCTCAACTATAATATGTAATTTTGTTTTATTTATAAATCATTATTTCAAAAATATATAAAAAGAAAATGAGAAACAACATATAATGTTTGAAGATCATATCAAACTAATAATGTATTTGGATTATCAGTCTGTGTTGCATAAATTTTTATTTATTTCATATCCTTTTTTTGCTGTCATATATATGTATATTTGAAATTTTTATTTAGTATCTTTATTTCTTGTTTTCATGTATGTTTGCAATCTTTAATTAAAAAAAAGAGAATTTGGTAGAGTAGAATCCCCCCCCCAAAGTGTGTTCAGTGATGGTTAACATATAAAACAGAATTTCATGGAGATTCTTTGTGTACAAGGAGAAACTGCTCAGTTTCAGCTGCCAGAAGTTGGAGGTTTAAGAGACCTATGTTTTCTTTTTCAGCTCTTCAAATCTCCAGGAAAGATCATCAAAGTCAATGTCTTCGGATGCTGAGGTGCTGCCACCAGCAGATGCAGTCGGTAGAGTGTCTGGCACAGATGGCAATTCTGGCAGTACAAAGTTGTAATTATCCACATGTCTGGGAGGGGCCTTTGCAGAGACTGCAGGCTTGGGTCCAGTACCAACAATCTGTGTAGAGACATTCTTATCAGCATTAATGTCATCAACAGATTCATAATGATGGGGTGTGGCTGGTATCTGAGGTGGCTCAATATTTGGAAATGCCTGATAAGTTCCCACTGGCAATCCCTTGAAATCTGACGGTCCCTGTGGCAATGGATATGAGAAAGGAGGATTTGGAGATGGCATGGGCATGGGCACTGGCACTGTTCCATCAGGTCCACCTACAGGTGCTGTGAACCCACCACTGCCTCCTCTTCCAGGACCACCTCTCTTCACATCATCTGTAAATCCAACATCAATAAGATCTATTTCTACCCCAGGAGGAGCTTCTGCCATGACCACAGAATCAGGTTCATAGGGTACATTGTAATTCTTGTCAATTTCAATCAGGTATCTCTCTACTAGGATTTTGGGTGGGGCGTCACACTCAGTTTGTGCATTAGCTTGTCATTAACAGTTCCAATCTGGTTGGTCCTACATAACTTGCTATACTTGGTACAGAGCTGATCAGCAACTATTTTTAACTCAGCCACTTCTGACTGGAGTTGAGGAGCAGCCCAGATTAGTGTAGACACAGATTCAGCCAGACCAGAATCTAGCTCTTTCATAGACTGAATGAGGCCAAACCGAGCCAGCAGCAGGTCACAGGACAGCTCCAGGATCTCCAAGGCCTCCACAAGGTAGTCTTCCCAGATAATGTGCTTCACTCGGATCTGGGCTCTCTCATCCTTCCCAGCAGCCAGATAATCAGCAATCTCCTTTCTTGCTTTCTGAGCCACTTCCACTTTTTTTTCTCCAGTAGTTTGAGACGGTTTATGACTAATCTCAAATTGACTCGTAAATGCTCAGCTTTAAATCCAGAGCCTAGCATACTGTGCTGTTCCTCCTGACTGAACTCAGGCGTGAAAACCTCCAAGACTGACTTTGGTGACACCGCCCAGCATCCAAAATGGCAGTTTCCCTAGCCTCAGCACCAAAAATTGATACTTATTTTCTTATACCTCACATGCCCAATTGCAACATCAGCTATACTTGTTTCCTATTAATTCTGTGAGATTCTGTCTTTCCTGACCTTTAAAGAATTACTTTTTAATATCTGTTCATGACTTTAACTGGGTCTTCCTTAGATTGTACTTTGGGGAAAGATCTCTTCAGCCCTCAGGGAAATGAGTAAGGAGCAGGTCTCCACAGCCAGGGTTGGGGAGGCCTTGGCTGGGCTGGCAAAGGCCAGGCAGCTTGGCTTGTCTCTGCCTTCTCTTGTACCACACTCTGTTTCTTTTTGGCAAATAAGCGATTATTCTGATACACATGAGAAACACAAAGGGGAGTGTCCCCATTGGAAAACATGTGTCAAAAAGTCTGATTGGATTTAAAACCATTTGTCCTCATTATAAGAATTTTCATCAAGGAAGAAAAGGAAGAGTTGTAACCTAATTTCAACTGTTATAAATGTTTGAAAGGTTTGCATAGTGGTTTTCAATTTTTTATCACCACTTGTGGAACACATTTTCTCCTTGATAGTTTAACTCTGTGTAGAACTCAGAAAACCCCCTGGTACCACCCCATTTTGTCCATAGCTCTTTCTGCTCTCTGTGAAACAGGGTAACAAAGACCTTTTGCTCTCCAAACCATTTTTAGATGCTGAAGAAGATAAATAAATATGACATGTTCAAGGGAAGGTGCAGAGAACTTGCAAAAAAAAAAAAAAACAAAAAAACAAACAAAAAACAAAAACTCAGAAAACCAAAGAGGATCAATTTACACCCAAGGATGGCAAGTCAAATTTCTAGTATAATTCTCCTAGAGATGTTAATTGGAAAGTTCATAGGAAGTCCAAATTAAATACTTTCTCCAATACTTTGTGTCTTTTTCTAGACATAAATATATGATGTACTATGATAAAAATGTAATGCTGTTAACCCAGCCACATATGCAAGTCATGTGCTGTATAATGAATGACACCTTAGTCAACAACAGACCACATATGTGATTGGAATGTAGCAGAACACTTCCTGTCTCTTTAGTGACACTGTAGCTATTACAATGTCAGAGTACCATGAATTCCTCATACATTCATGGTGATTCTGTTATGGGCTCCTTGGGGTCTTGTGCTTTCTATCAGCAGAATAAAACAGAAATAACTTGGTACAGGGATGAGGCTTTTTTTTTTTACACTCAAACATAGGGAGAAAATCATGGGAGACAGGAAACCCTGGTTGGCCCAAATAAAGAAAGAGGTGTGCAGCTTTTATGGCAGGGCCCTGTCTCTTGATGTCACCATGTGTAGAGGTGGAGTTTTAGCTGTGCCTGAGCTCTTCTTTACCATGTCTCTACATGGGACACTGTCTATTTATCATAAGAAGTCTCCACCTCAGGGTGTGATCTTTACTATGCTAACAAAGCATAGGTAACTAAAGATTACTTTAGTGATTTTTCTATGCATGCATTTGTCCCTTGTCAGCTGGGAAAGTTCTTAATTGAGTTTTAAAGCAAGAAATCATGACCCTACCTCAGTGAGTTTCACTTTAATAATCCTTCTGTTTTCAGTTCTGGTTTCTCAGCATCTCCATTGACCACAGAGCCTTTGTAGGCTGAGTTGATTTGTTACTCTCCCTTCTCCTGATGTGTTATTCTAATTCCATAGCTTTGGAGGTTGATCTACCTTTTAACTCCTTATTATGATGTATGTGTAGATGTCCATCCAAAGCCTCACACAATCATAGGTGGGGCTTTTTCAGAGGTGGCTGGATCTTGAGTTTGTGATGTTAGGATCAAGGGTTTGTGGTTACTAAATTAGTCCAAGATTGGTTTGGATTAAGGGCTCCCCCCATGGGTGTGAATACTATCCATCCTAAGGATGGATAGGCTGGATAAGACATAAGGGACAGAAAAAAGGCCTTGGGCCCCTTGTCACTTGCTGCATTCTGCTTGGCATGACACCCCACCTTGGAGCCAGCCAACAATGAACTGAGACCTCTACAAACTGTGAACCACGTAAACCTTTCTTCTTTTAACTTTGGATGTTGTGCATTTTGTCTCAGCAAGAGAAAAAACAACTAAGACACTCTCACTTCCATGATATACCTGTTAACCCCAGGAGACTCAGGCTAACATATCATTCCAAGTTCTGGTATAGAAACACCCACTGCGTAGCCAGTTGTATAAGAGTAACACATGCAATTATGCACAGCATGTATGTAATACTTGATAAGTATAGTGATGACTAAGTTACTGGCTCATGTGTTTATTATACTATACTTTTTATAATTATTTTAGAGTGAACATTTACCTATAAAAGGTTTCCTGCTAATTGTATACCATCTTCTCATCCACCTTGTATTTATTGGGCTTCTAGGTTGCATAGAGGCCATGACGAGTGACTGACCTGGGCCATGTAGGATTGTGTAAGCACACTTTAGGATGCTAACACAATGACAAAATCTGTTTGTTGATACACTGCTTGTCCCCACTGTTAAGCGATGCATGGCTATAGTTGACCCACTTCCCTCCAGTATACTATATTATACTCTAAAGCACTTGGAAAATTATTAATATTTAAAATAATACTACTACACTCTGGTCTCTGAAATTGACTTTTACATGCATGTGGTTGTTCACTCTATTGATTATTAAAGCCCCTTTTTAGGGTGCAGAAATTAAAAGATAGAAACTACATTCTATGCTTCTTTGAAGCTAGGACTCTGGGTGAGATTTAAATTCTGCCAGGGAGGTGAGAGACTTTGATTAGAAGCTGAGTCATCCAAAGGTAGAGAGCCTCAGAAAGAGTTGACCAGGGATGGAGTTACAAAGAGGACAGCAGGGTACAGGGCACCCACTTTGCTGGCTCAGATTCTAGCAGAGGCAGATCATTCTTGTGCCAGTAGTTGGATGATGCCTTTTCATTTGGAAGCTCTCTCACTGGGTATGATTTGGGGTTTCTGAAAGTTCTTTCCATCCCACTGTAATCTGAGTCATGTGTCCTATTAGTAAACCTCTTTCTGCTCAAACTAGCTGGAGCATATTCTGTAGTTTGTCACTGAGAACCTTGATCAGTACCATGCAAAGCGCGTGTTTCTAGGGAAACAAAGCCTGGACTTTGCCAACTTGTCAACAAAAAAAGGCTTCACATCACTGGCTCAAGGGATAGGAAGCAGAGGAAGAGCCTGACAGAGAATAGTAAGATCTATGAGGGGGGTGCTTGCCAGGCCATTCTGAGGAGGTAAATCAGCAGAACAAGCTGTGAAAAAGGAGTGAAATGCTGGGAAGTAGGCTACTGCACTTGGCAGATTCAGGGACATGGAGTGCAGAATCCTAATTGCAGTGGGCTGAGGAGAAAGTGAATGATGAGAAAGTACAATGGGTGTAGAATATTATTGAACTGAACAGGCTGCAAAGCAGAGTAAAGAAAAGATGATAGATTTTCTAGAAGGAAAGCTGTTCCTTCTTGCCTGTCTTCATTTTTTTTTTTTTTTTTTTTTTTGCAAGGCATCTATAAATGGACATGATAAAGACAAAGAGGCTGTGGAGTAGGAGAAGTTGAGGTTAGAAGTAAGGGAGAGTGATTGAAGAAATCAGGTCAAAGAGGAGACAGGGACATAGTGTCAAGCGCGGTGGCGGCAGTGACCCTGGACAGCAGTGTAATATCTCAACAATGGCAGTGTGTACAAGAAGAGGAGGCAGTGAGAGGAGCTGGGGCTCTGGACCTGTCTGCTTTTCTGTTCCCTGTGCAGTGGGAAGCAGGGTGAGTGGGAGGGTAGGGACACAGCCTGGATGAGCATGGAGAGGATGCTGGAGGGACGTAAAACTGCTTAGACAACTGGGGCCAAAAGGCAAGGTTTTGCGCTGGTCCAAGGAGCACTGATAATACTGTCATCAGTTAGAGTCTGAGGTGTGTTCCAATGGTGAGCTAGACACCAATGCCACCTTACCTGTAGTCTAGGTTTGAAAGTTCACTGACTCCCATGGAGAAAAAAGAATTTTCAGGACTAGTCAGTATGAGACATAGGGTGGTTTTCATAAGGCAGAAATTAAAAGTTGTACACTTAAAGAAACAGTGTGGTCCCAAGAGAGGAGAGAGGGAGAGGGAGGGGAGGAGGAGGGGAGGGAGAGAGAAGGAGAGAGAGGGAGGGAGAGGCTTATTTCTTGGAATATAGAACACTTATCATTTATGCTTCTCTTGAGGGGAAATCCTGGGAAAAGGTAACCCCCCTCAAAGGGCACTGGCTCATATTACTGGTATGAGCACAGTTTTGTTTTGTTTTTGATAAATAATTTAAACATTCAATGTAAACACTTCTGGTTTCTTTCAACTAGTTTCTTTATCTTAGGATCAATTTCCTGCACTTTATTTTTTCAATTAAGCCAATTTATGGGTACAATGGATCAGGAAGGAAAGAAGCCTGAATTTAACCAAGGAAATTATGATTGTGGATCACCTTGGGTAACTTTGACTGGGTCCTGGAAGTTGTAGTCTTCTTAAATGTACAATTTTTAGTTATGACTTCTTTGTCTTCTTTCTACCTATCCTTTATTTCTTTTATCTAACTCAATGCCATCAGAACTTGCTGTTTTCCTCCTTCCCCCTCTGTTTCTCAGGTGCCACAGCCCAGTCCCTGGAAAACATGGACCCTACCTTTTTGAATGTAGCTCACTAGTGTCCCCTTATTTGTGATTTTTGCCTTTGGAAGTTTCAGTAACAAGGTTAATAAGGGTCCAAAAATACTAAATGGAAAATTCCTGAAATAATTCAAAGTTTTAAATACCTTGTATTACAATGTATTGTTATCACTGTTGTATATTACTATTACAGTGGACTCTTTTTAAAAAATTCTTTTTATTGAGTTTATTGGTACAATCTAGGTATACAATACAGTTACACTCATCACTGGGATCCTGTACCTTTACATAATTGGTCTTGATTCTCATTTTTTCCCCTTGTCCCTGCCCTCCCTTCACTCCCTCAACCCCTCCCCATTTACAAACACTTTATTTCCATTTTTC